GCCCCGGTATGTTGGTCAAGTGTCCGGCAGTGTGTAGGGACAGCCCCAGCACAGCTATGTCGTTCTTCTGGCACGGCTTACTCTTTCCTGTGGGGACTCAGAAGTAAGTTTCTTCCTGGTCTTTAGTCCCAGAAATGTCTTTGAGTCACGTCCTGGGCTGATTGGCACCAGAACAGTTTTACTTACATGGGAATTAATTTTTAAAAAAATAATTGCATGTAGAAATATTGAAAACTTTGAGAAAAAGTTAGTTGTAGTAAAGAAAAATAGAAAAACATGTATGCATAATTGTCTGTCTTATCATTTTTTACTGTATGTAGGCAAGTGTGTCATGGAAAATGAAAGAGTCTCACAATTGGTTTCCAGCCGTGTGAACTGTAGGTGACACTTGCCGTAGTCAGTGTTCTGTTGCTGTGAGGACACCATGACCACAGCAACTCTTATAAAGGAAAGCATTTACCTGGGGCTGGCTTGCAGTTTTAGAGGCTGTGGAGGTTTGAGTATGAATGGCCCCATGGACTCATTTGTTTGAACATTTGGCCCATAGGGCGTGGCACTATTAGGAGGTGTGACCTTCTAGAGTAGGTGTGGCCTGGTTGGAGGAAGTGTGCCGCTGTGGGACAGGCTTTGAGGTCTCATGTGCATGAGCACGGTTTCCTTCTGCTGCCTTCAGATCAGGATATAGAGCTCTCCAGCACCATGTCTGTCTGTGTGCTACCATATTTCCCACCGTGACGATAATGGACTAGACATCTGAAACTGTAAGCCAGCCCCGATTAAATGTGTTCATTTATAAGAGTTGCTGTGGTCACGGTGTCTCTTCACAGCAACAGAAACCCTAACTAAATCAGAGGTTTAGTCCATCTTCATCATGGTGGGCAGGATGGTGGCATGCAGGCAGACAAGGTGCTGGAGAGGGGGGCGAGAGTTCCACATCTAGATCTGCAGACAGCAGGAAAAGAGAGCCACTGGGCCTGGCTTGGACTTTTCAAACTTCAAAGCCCACCCCCAGTGACATAATTTCTACATCAGCAAGACCACACCTCCTGATAGTGCCATTCTCTGTGAGCCTGTGGGGGCCAATTACATTCAAATTACCACGCTATGGCTTCCATTCAGGAACTACAGTGGTATTATAGGTTTAGGGGACGAGCCTCCTGTGCTCAGAAGAACAGGGACGTGGCTTGTGTACCATGCTGCCAGGTGAACGCTATCTCCCGAAGCTGGGGGATTTGCTGAATTGATCTTGTTGGACATTCTGATTCTAGTACCTCCTGGAAAAAGGTGCTTCTTGGTGAAGTGATTTCAGATACAAACGAGAAGACAAGCTGGGGTGTGGCCCAGAAAATATGCTCTGACTACATCGAGGAAACGCGTGCTGTGCTGCGCAAGGTGCGTCCCCTGGTGCTGCTGGGACTCAGTTCCAGTCCCTCCCAACAGCAAGTGTTTGGTCACCTTTGTATCTGACGGTGTTAGCAGAGTTAACCTAAAGTTATACATACGGTGCCAGGGAGATGGCCCAACAGATCCTTGCTGTGCTCGTGTGGGGGCCTGAGTTCAGATCCCAGCACACATATAGAAGTCAGGTGTGGCAGCTGGTGTGCCTGTAACTCAGTGCAGGGGTTAGGGGATCATGAAGGCTCCCTGGCCAGCCAGCCTTGTCCAGAGCACTAAGGATCAAGTGAGAGACTGTGGCTCATGCTACAGGTGGCCAGCCGTGGGAGCTGGCACTCAGCCTCTGGCCAGCCCATGTGTGGGCACGGGCCAGTCTGGAAGGTTTCCATGCCGTGTGTGATACACGGGCCAGTCTGGAAGGTTTACATGCCGTGTGTGATGTATGGGCCAGTCTGGAAGGTTTACATGTAGTATGTGATACACGGGCTAGTCTGGAAGGTTTACATGCAGTGTGTGATACACGGGCCAGTCTGGAAGGTTTACATGCCGTGTGTGATGTATGGGCCAGTCTGGAAGGTTTACATGTAGTATGTGATACACGGGCTAGTCTGGAAGGTTTACATGCCGTGTGTGATGTATGGTCCAGTCTGAAAGGTTTACATGCAGTGTGTGATACACGGGCTAGTCTGGAAGGTTTACATGCAGTGTGTGATACACGGGCCAGTCTGGAAGGTTTACATGCAGTGTGTGATACACAGGCCAGTCTGGAAGGTTTACATGCAGTGTGTGATACACGGGCCAGTCTGGAAGGTTTACATGCAGTGTGTGATACACGGGTCAGTCTGGAAGGTTTACATACAGTGTGTGATACACGGGCTAGTCTGGGAGGTTTACATGCAGTGTGTGATACACGGGCCAGTCTGGAAGGTTTACATGCAGTGTGTGATACACGGGCCAGTCTGGAAGGTTTACATGCAGTGTGTGATACACGGGCCAGTCTGGAAGGTCTACATGCAGTGTGTGATACACGGGCCAGTCTGGAAGGTTTACATGCAGTATGTGATACACGGGCCAGTCTGGAAGGTTTACATGCAGTGTGTGATACATGATGGTGCTTTGATGTATGCTCACCATGTGGAGTTGCCTAGTCAAACTGTTGAACAGCGTTTTCCAGACTGCAGCTCTTGGAATCTGTTTCTTGACATGCAGTATGTGTCTTGTTCCTAACTGAGGTCACGTGTTGTCCAGGGAACTCTGCGGTCTGTTCCTCTTGTCTAGGTAAACTCTGTGGTTTTTGACTGATGTCACCAGTCTCCCTGCCATTTACGTGGTGGTCACCATTCTTTACAGACACAAGTAAGAACCTGAAGACCTGGCTTTGTGCCTGATGTACTTCATTAACCCACTGTCCTCCAGACTCTTTCTTGTTGTCACAAATAAGGACTCCCCCTCCCCGCTTTGTGATACTGGGAATGAGATTCAGGTCCTTGAAACCCGAGCCCTGTCACTGCCCTCATTCCCATTTAAGACTATACCACTGTGTAAGTATATCAATATTTTCTTTATCCATTCATCATTGGGCACTTAGGTCGAGTCTTAATTTTGCCTCATGTTTCATCATTGCCTGATTGATAGTGTTTCAAATATTTTTTCTTTAATTTCATAATTTTTTTGTCTTAATGAGAAATCAGTTCATTTATAAGAAACATGACGATTAAAATTCACAAGTTTGTGCATTTTGAAGATTTTATGCTAAATGAGAAGAAAAGCACAAAAGGACAAGGACTGTCCACTTACAGGGTTCCCAGGCCAGGGAACCCAGGGCTCTGGGGAGGGAGCCGGAGAAAGTGATCTGGGCGACTTAAGGCCACTCACTGTCTGCCTCAAAGCAGTTAAAATGGTAAATTTTATAATGCCTTTCTAGTATAATAAAAAGTTAAAAATTACTTTCAGGTCTCTGACATGAAGGAAGGAAACGTGTTGCCGGTAAATCAACTTGCTTTGGTGGAAGCCTTGTGGGTGGAGGAGCTGAGGATTCTCCAGGCCTCTGCTGAGATTCTGAGCAGTTTACAAGCCCCTGACACCACGGGGGGCATGTGATCCCTCCTGTGGAGTGTGTGATCCTCCTGTGGAGTGCGTGATCCCTCATGTGGAGTGTGATCCTCCTGTGGAGTGCGTGATCCCTCCTGTGGAGCATGTGATCCTCCTGTGGAGCTTGTGATCCCTCCTGTGGAGTGTGTGATCCCTCCTCTGTAGTATGTGATCCCTCCTGTGTAGTATGTGATCCCTCCTGTGGAGTGTGTGATCCTCCTGTGGAGTGTGTGATCCCTCCTGTGTAGTATGTGATCCCTCCTGTGGAGTGTGTGATCCCTCCTGTGGAGTGTGATCCCTCCTGTGGAGTGAGATCCTCCTGTGGAGTGTGTGATCCCTCCTGTGGAGTGTGATCCCTCCTGTGGAGTGTGTGATCCCTTCTGTGGAGTGTGATCCCTCCTGTGGAGTGAGATCCTCCTGTGGAGTGTGTGATCCCTCCTGTGGAGTGTGATCCCTCCTGTGGAGTGTGATCCTCCTGTGGAGTGTGTGATCCTCCTGTATAGTGTGTGATCCTCCTGTGGAGGGTGTACTTTCCTCACTTTTGCTGAGGTTGGAATAAATAGACTTATATGACACCCTTTGCAGTCTTCGGATGGTTTCTAATAAACAGTTTAATGTTTCTTCCTCGGCTTTTCTTACATGTAGAGAACTTTCAAGAGCCTGTCGTGGGATGGAATGGCAGCTGCTCCCAGCCCTGGGAAGTATGTCTGCCCCGAGCAGAGGAGTGTTCTGGGTACTGGGTAACTGAGGACAGACATGTCACGCTTACCATCCCTTTCCTGCCTGCGTCCGTGGGGAAGGAACAGCATGGAAGTGATGAACTGCAGAGATGGACGGGCAGGCAGCCCGCTGTGGCCTGCTGTGGTCTGTGTCCTGTCAGCTGCTGAGGTCTGTGTCCTGGTGTCAGCCCGCTGTGGTCTGTGTCCTGTCAGCCCGCTGAGGTCTGTTTCCTGTCAGCCCGCTGTGGTCTGTGTCCTGTCAGCCCGCTGAGGTCTGTGTCCTGTCAGCCCTCTGTGGTCTGTGTCCTGTCAGCCCGCTGAGGTCTGTGTCCTGTCAGCCCGCTGAGGTCTGTGTCCTGGTGTCAGCCCACTGAGGTCTGTGTCCTGTCAGCCGCTGAGGTCTGTGTCCTGTCAGCCGCTGAGGTCTGTGTCCTGTCAGCTGTGGTCTGTGTCCTGTCAGCCCGCTGTGGTCTGTGTCCTGTCAGCCCACTGTGGTCTGTGTCCTGTCAGCCCGC